CTTGCTGTGCCCCAGTGTTCCCCCGGTGGGCCCATCTCCCCCACCGCCCCTTCTCCAAACACTTCCCATGGGACGGGCCATGCTTTGGTCCCTTGCAATGACTCACTGATCTCTGAGTGGCTCCTTTTTTTTCAGTTGTTGTGGCTCCTCGCTCCTATGTGGGTCCACAGGAAACCTATTAGTGGTGTTGCTGGCCTGGGGGCCACCAAGGCCCTCTTCTCCCCTGCCACCTCCAAGCAACTCCATCTGAAGGGCACAGCTGCAGCTTCTGCCGGCTCCTGCTCCATGCTCTGTGTGCTTAGCAGTTCCAACCTGGAAGCTGCTGGGGCTCGATATAGTCAGAGCAGTTTTTTCTTTCTCTCATCATGGCTTCTCCCGCTTTCATGCTCTCTGTAGGTCTCTCCTCCTCTTCCCCTGAGCTCTAGCGGCCCCAGCTTGGCTGTCATTGCTTTTTTATAGTTGTAAATTGGTTGACTTGTGGGAAAGAGTGACGCTGGGGACCATCTGTTCCACCACCTTGACCAGAAGTACCCACCTGTAGCATCTAATGAACAACAGAAGGAATGAGCAGATATTCCATTTAAAGAACATGCTCTCTTTTCTCTTATCATTTTCCTGCCTCAGGTGATTTGAGAAAGAGCAATAACCAGCCCTCTTTTTCTAAGAGGGGAGAACTCCTTATAATAAGATTTGAGATGGACCTACCCAGACCCTACCTGTCATTCCTTGACTGAAGGGAAATAGCATCATGGTGTTTCCCTCCTAGCACATGTGCTTTTGAGCATCATAAGTGACTGCCCTTCAGGAAGAGCAGCTCCCCTGTTGCCTGGGCTATTGGGACTTCCTCTTCCCATGCCTTACCCGTCAGTGCTGGCAGTCACCCATGGGACAGACACAAGAATGTGAGAGCAGCTTTCAAGCCACCTTCCTGGCTGGCCTCACCTCTCACGGTCCTCCCTCACCTGACTCCAGTCCTCCCACAGCACTGCATGTGCTGAGCACGCCTGTTCCCCAGCTGGTGTGGCTGATCCATGTCTGGGCTGGACACGCTCCACTTTCATTTGCATGTGGGCCCAGCCCTGTCATTTGCGGGACGGAGGTTTGAGGACAAATGGAAACCTGCGGACAGTATCTCCAAATATTTAAAAGTGATGAATCATGCTGACATTGTTAACTAAAATGTACACTATCTTCTGCCTTGTCAAATATACCGTCATAACAACCAAATGAAAAACTATGTGTAAATCTGGGATTTTAGGCAAAATATCAAAGACAATTTAATTTAGTCACTGTTGTATTATGGCTCTATGTTCTGTTGATGGGCCAGGATGTTTGGATGAGTAATAAAATAGAAATATACATAATTTATGTTATATGTTTGTCCCAGAATGTTTTTCCTTACCTTCACGTCAGCAAAATTATTAAATATTTATAAATAATAAAGATTTTAAAAATAATTTGCATTTAACTGGTAATGATTTCAAGGATTAAAAATGAAAAATGTACAAAATTTAAATCTATATTTATGAAGAGAACAGAATAAAAGACAAAAGTAAAACAATTAAAAGTATTTTTCACATGCTTGAAAACTTTTTTGAAAACGCAATCTTCAAAATTACGTACAAAATTAAAGACAAGATTTAAATTACAATTAATGAACATCCAAATTTTAAATGATGATTATGTAAATGAAGTGGAAATATTTATTTACCCTTTAAAAATGTAAATAAATTTTAGCAACTACATTACAAAAGTAAAAGTATTCACAAGTCTAGTGTTTAATGTCCATTTACTGCCACGGTAAAGAACTAATAGCCTATTTCATACATGATATATTTAGATCTACATGTAAACATATAAGAGTATGAATTATTTCACATGGCAAACATTGCTCAGCTACCATGTGCAACTGTTGTGAATACCACACAAGCACGTGAGTGCTTCCAGAAGCAAGAAAATTTGGATGTTTGCCACTACTTACTGGAAATGCTATTTTATTATACAAGAATACTTTGTGTGTTCGTGCTGAGAGAAAGACTTTGACAAGTTAATCCGTCTTTTCTCTTACTTAGGTATTTCACCATGCAAATCCTCCTCCCACTCAGAGGAAATCAATCCACAAACCTCAAAGGCATCTAGAGGCAGGCAGCTGCTGTTTCGAGGACCTGGTGCAAGAGATGCAGAGAAGCGTATCCCTGGGGCCAGAGAAGTGTTAGTCGCAACAGCACCTTTAGGAGCATGGGCTGAGCTGTCGGTCCTAAGGAGCCGTGGGGCCCTTGTGTCATTTAACAGATTTATTTTTTGTATGTCTGTGATATGTGGGACTGTAAAGTGCAGAGCCCGGGAGGGGCTTCTCTTGCGTAGATGGGAGGGTGGTCCTGGATATACTGAAAACTCCTGTGGGTACTGAAGAATCACCTCCTGTGGAGACCTCCTTTGTAAAGGAGGGCCCATTGCTCCTGGGCCATGGCTCCAAAATAGGGCTCAGCATTTGACATCAACTTACTTATTTACAGGGATGCAGCTATTCAAACGAAGTCTCCTTGATAGCGTAAAACTTACAAATAAGATTTACTTATTTTTCACTCTGTTGTATTTCAAAGGTAATACATGTTTAATTATCCAAATACGAAATTATGAAATTGATTATGTTTTTCCAACTACTCCTGCCATACTATTTATGTGCCCTGGTGGAAAGCCACTATGCTGTAGGAAAAGACTGTAGTTTACATTACTGGGATGCACAGGCCCCAGGGTAGGCCCGTCTGTTTGTACTATTTGTTTATGCATACAGATTTTCTCACACCACGTGCAGTGCACCAGCTGCTCTAGGTTTTGTCCCTGTGACCCAAAGTCTTGCAATTCTCAAAGAGTCCACTTTCTGCTACCTTTTGAGCTGACTCTCACTATATATCATCTTTTATTTGCAAAATCTAAGCACCAGCCAGGGACAGCAGGAAGCCTTTAAGAAAAAGAAAGAGATGGGGGGTGGGGTGCTATTTTAGGTGGTATGGTCAGGGAAGGCCTCTTTGAGGAGGTGACATTTGAGCAGAGGCCTCAAGGAAGGCAGGGAGTGAGCTGTTTGGGTATCTGGGGGAGGGGGACAGCATTCTGGGCTTAAGAAAGAGCAAATGGCAAAAGCCCTGAGACGGAGGCCTGCTTGGCTTGACTGAGGAGCTGCAGGAGGATGTCCTGCTTTGAGCGGAGTGAATGAGGAGGACAGCGGTAGGGCATGGAACCAGAGGGAGCAGAGAAGCGACCAGACCATGCAGGCCCTTGAGCCTGTGGTAAGGACTCTGGGATTTATATTCATCAGCTACGAAAAAGGTCTTCTCAATGACCAATAAAAGACCTCCCAAGTCAACCTCTCCAACTGTTCTAGAGCAAATGACACTTTGACCTTCATTCATTTAAAGATTTTGGAGATGTTAGTTTTGAAGCCTCTATTTGGTAGAGACATCAGCCTTCAAAGGTGTTTCTTTGTACCATCTCTTAAAGGACCAGTGATAACACTGAATAAAAATAGGAAAGCGTAGATGTCACCATTCTAATCATGCTTCAGTTCAGATCAAGACTTCAGAGGTAGACTTTCATTGGTTGTGCAGAAAATATATAGGAGAGCAAAATATTTCAGACCCTCATAGTTCTTTTGAAAATACAGTATGTCTTTAAAACAAATAAATTCAGAACTAAAATAAGCTATTTGATGAGGTCGAAAGCCCCTAAGAAAGGAGTAAATCAGAGGTGCTATAAAATGCTCCCAAGGAAATTGAAATAAACTAGGAAGTAATCATGTGTTCAGCTCCTGCCCAAGCCAAAGATGGCACATAAGGGCCTCCCCCAGCAGCAGCAGGTGTCACACCTCCCTTGCCTCTCAGAGTCCTCCCTCCTTACTTTTCACCTGAGTCCTCTCTACTAATGCCATGGGTTGCTGTGGCTGTGGAAGTTGCAGTGGCTACAGTGGTTGCTGTGGCTGTGGTGGCTGCGGTAGTGGCTGTGGTGGTGGCTGTGGCAGCTGCTCCAGCTGCAGGTGCTACCGGGTCAGCTGCTGCTCTAGCTGCTGTCCCTGCTGCCACAGCTGCTGCAGCATCCCCGTGGTCTGCTCCTGCTGCCGCTCCTGTGCTGTGGCTCCTGTGGCTGTGGCTGTGGGATGGGCTGTTGCCAGCAGAAGTGCAGCTGCCAGAAGCAACGCTGCTGCTAGGCAGCCGGCCAGGCTCTGGGCAGGTGCTGCTGGGGCCAGGCGCTCTTCTGAGAGCTTAGATCTTTAGATGTTCTGTACTTTCATCTCTCTGGTTCACATAAATATTGAGCCATGCAATTTAATAGAAATACACTTGATTAGAAGTCAGAAGCCACGGACAAATTAGGTGGCCTCTCTGAGCCTTGCTTATACATCTACAGAATGGTAAGGTTGAACAATCTCTAAGGACCTTTTCAGATTTAACAGCGTATGAATCTATTGAATTCTAAAAACTAAACTCACAGGCTCTCCATCCTCATACTCTGAAGATTTCTTTTATAGACCCTAAACTTTTATCTTATATATCTTGGCTACAGTGGGCATTAAAACCTGTTCATACAAAACAAACAAACAAACAAAAACCACCCTCAATCCAATATGATCCATCAACCATAATTTGCACTGCAACAAAAACAGGCCACAGGTCACCTCATGAAAGTCCTAAAATTAATATTAATGAGCTTAGGGGAATGAAATAATAATTTTTGATACATTTCATTTTTTTGAATATTTACGGTCTGGTTTTTGAACCTCTACATTTATATAGCCGCTTATATTGGTCATATACTGTATATTTTTTACAGTTTCTAGTGTTCCCTTATTTTCCTAAATATAGGGATCTATTTATTTCCTTAATAAAACACTAGAAAAATATAGCATTTCTCTGTCCTTGTTTTGATTTATTTGTTTTTGAGGAGGGGTAGGAATGACGAAGCTGATGTTTGACAACACATCTTATAAACTTCAGGAAGGTTATAAATGAAAGACAAGAAATACACTCAATTTATTAGTGTAATGCTAGCTACTATAACAAACTGACGCAAAACTATACAATGATTCAACACAATGGGAGTTTTTTCTTGCTGATGTTAACTATCCTGAGCAGTTCTAGGTGGGGAGTAGGGAATGGGTGTTGGGGAAGCCGTTCTCCATTCAGTCATTCAGGGATCTAGGTTGGAGGAAGTGCTGGCACTTTCAAGACGTGTCTTCTAATGTAGCTTAGTTGCCTCTAGTCTACAGGTGGCAAAGAAGAAAGTAGACAAAACCCATCAGTTCTTAAGCTCTTTGGCTTGAAAGTGACACAGCTTACTTCCCCTTTCTGTCCAGTGGGTAGAAGAAGTCACGTGGTCCTACCTGGATGTAAAGGGGGGTGCTGGGAAATGTAGTCCATGCCTGACCCTCTACTATGAAAGAAAGAAAGAAGCATACATTTTTCACGGACAGTTAGCTGTGTCTACCCCATGTTCTAATTAAACTCTCAACTGATTTGACCATTGTGTGTTTAGTTGCCCTGAGGCAACTTGGGTGGGGGGTTCATACCCAATCATATCACTTGAATTCCTCCTGGGGGAGTTAAACAGGTTCCTGAGGCAGACTCAGTGCTGAGGGGAGTCCTGGTTCCCAGTCCATCTTGGTAGAATCCTTCCTTCTTCTGAACCGCTAAGCTTTTGCTGTTTTGGCATGCCATGTGACATGTTATTTGCATACTTTTCTATCCCTGGCTTTAGTAAAATTCTGTTTTAGCTCTTTGGGTTGCAGAAGAATAGATATCCACTAAAAACAGTATAAAAGAGATAGGTTATTTTAAGAATATAGAGGCATCTCACAGAAAACAGAACCTGCAGTCAGTCTTCACAGGGTAGAAATCAAGAAGTAGAAAGCCATTGAGAAGCCAGACAGATACCCTTTCTCTGCCTCCCTCTACATCCACATGGTCTCTCACCTCCTGTCCCTGCACATCTGTTTCTCCCCTCCCCTAGCCTCCTCACTTCCGCCTTCTTTTTGTGTAGACGGGTTGTTCTGTTTCTCTCAGCACAGCTCATGAATTTAAATGACAAGGTAGAGACTGCTAGTTGCCTACCCAATACACTGTCTCCTTCTTCCCCACCCCCCAATTTTAACTGGGCACCGATCACTTGGAATATATACATTTTCCTTTGCAATTAAATGTTGTCACACAGCTAAATTCTAGGCAATGAGATGGCTCTTTAAAAGGAAGAGGGTGAGCCTTTCTCAGCTATGGCTGCCACATATTGAACATGAGAATGAAGCGATCACAGAGCTGGTGGATCCATGAGCTGGATCCCTGAGGAAGAGGAGCTACCATTTCAGCTCTTGAGTACCTACCTCCAGACTTGTTGTGTGTGAGTAACTAAATTTCTGTCTTAATTAAGCCGTTGTTTTATATTTATTTTTACACGCAATTAAGCATAATTCTCACACAAATGTCCTCTCATTTCATGCATAACAGAGAATAAGTAGTGTCTCTCGGTTTTAATTCTAAGCTCTTGGGGGGATTGGAAGAGCTTAGCTTCTGTATCTACCTTTATTCTAATCAGCAATGGTCAGGAGAACAAAGTTCCATAATACAAATGAGATACTGAAGGTCTACTCATGTAAGTTGTGGGGGGCTGTTTTTAACAGGAGTATATTAGTCCATTTCTGCTGCTTATAACAAAATAACTGGAACTGGGTAATTTATAAGAAAACAAAATTTATTGCTTACAGTTTCTAAGGCTGGGAAATCCAAAGTCCAGGGAACACATCTGGTAAAGGTCTGGACGGTGGCAACCGTGACCTAGGGTCTCACATGGCAGAAAACGGCAGAGAAAGATTAACCTCTCACACGCTCTTCTTTTAAAGCCCTTGGAACCACACCCCTGATCACCATTTTTAATCCATTCACCAGGCATGGTCCCCACCTTTCAATTACCATAATAGGATTTCCCACCCTCTTATCTGTCACAGTGGGGATCAAGCAACTAAAACATAGAACTTGGGAGACACAATCTCTATCAAGGAGGCGTGTGGTTAGGCAGACACTCAAAAGTTGTCTCCTGTACTCTTCAGTTATGAGCTAATTCCCTTTCCAGTTTTATCCTTATATATCTTCCCCTTCGTAACATACAAACTGTACTTCTACATTTTTACAGAATTCTTTACTTACTTCTAGCCACAAGTAGAAGGAGTACCAAACCCAACTGGAAGTAAGTTATGTCCACTAGCAAAACCATGCAACTTACTTAGTGTTTGTCTCTGGCAAAGACTCTGGAAATCAAACTGTTGATTCTCATAGTCAGGTAGAGTCTGCCCAGTTCAGGTCCCTAGGTATAAAACAATTATCTAAACAGTTCTTCAATTCAACATCTTAGGAAGACAGCAAAAAGATTTAACATTACAGAGCCCACATTTGAAAATAAGTCACTGCCACCTCCCATGAATCTGATCAGTAATAAACATCTGATTTATTTATATAATATTATATAATTACATAATCATATAATTTGTATGACTCAGTGAAAACATAATTTTTAATTGTTCATTTTTATAAAAGAAAAAAATATATTTACAGAAAATTATGTAACTGTTCTAGAAATCTCAACCATGCAGAAGTGTACGAATGGAAGTGTCTCCCGTCTCTCAACCCAGCTGTGGTGGGCTATTCTGTAGTGGTATTCGTTCAATCATTCTCAGTGTTTTGTGTGCTGTGGTGATGAGGAGGGTATTTTTAATCCTTTGGTACAGAGTCATTTCCTGCTTAGACCCCAAACTGGAACTGATGTTTCAGTGTCCATGACCATGCATGCTCAGTGTCTCAGGCTCGGTGTGCCCCACCGCTGCTGCAGGATGGGATGTCACTCTCTAAGCCCATACGCCTGAGCTGTGGACTCCACAGACTTCCTAACAACATTGGCTGAATCCATGCTCTGGGCTGGGATGGGGAGCACACAGAGGCAGGAGGAAGTCACTGTAGCTATTGAGCTGCCTACTGCTCCATTCTTTTCTTCTGGACACATTGGTTTGTATTTCATCACCCACTTGAACTCAAGCATAACTGAGTGGCTCATTTGGCAAATGGAATGTGAACAGAAGTGATGTGGGTCATTTCTGGGCAGAAACATTTAGACCCAGTACACGGCTCACCACGGTTTTTTACCCTGCCTCTGTGGTTGTGGGAGCCTGGATCAAGACGGTGCAACTGCCAGTCTGGGTCTCTCAGTAACTACCCCAGGCAGAGCCGCCTTGCAGATAATGATGGCACGTTAGCATAAATGAGAACTTTCGAATTTTAAAGCCTATCCCAACTGATACAGTCTTTTCTTGAGAAGCTCACAAGCCATTAGGGAAACAACACGGTGCTACAGTCTAGAAATTTAAGACACTGTACATGATCAAGTGTTCAAGTTTTGAATAAGATATGATAATTTCCCCTCCAATTTCTCTCCCATTGTCATCATTCCTTCTGATTTCCATATTTGATCATTTTTAGTCTGGTAGTGTTAGCCAAACCTCCCACATGTCTTAGATGGGCTATCTCCAGATGAATTAGTCTACAACATGAATAATATAACAAAAAATCATTTTATTGTGTGTATGTGAGCATACAACCTGAAACTGAACCTCCATATTTTGACTAATCAAGAACATTGGCAGGGTAAAAAATATTTTTCGCCCAGTCTTATATATGTTCATCTTCTTGTTGAACAATTTCAAAATAAACTTCTATAGTTGATAATAATATCAATAAAACAGGAAAAAACAGTTTATGTTAACTGGATATTCTCATTTCTACTTTTTATGAGGCATACTAGTAAAAGAATATATCAGAGGAGCTTATCTTAAACTCACCTTTTTTTATATTCCTAGTTTCATGTGTAACTATCTCACAGAAACCGTAGGTTTGTTTTTTCTGCCTTTCATCATTTACCCCGTCATAATATAAAATTATCCTTAGTTCCTGTTATAGTTCTCATAATAATGTCCTACCCTATTGGACTCTGAACTTGTTGCCACAATTCATTTTTCATAAGTGCTAAACATTAACCAGAAGCTGTGGATAAAAGGTAAGACAGTTCCTCACAAGTGCAGCTGCTTGGAAGAGTTTTCTAACTGAACCAGGGTGACCATGACCTGCTGCGAGGGATGGACATCCTGCAATGGGTTCTCTCTGCTGATTCTGCTTCTCTTGGGAGTAGTTCTCAATGCAATACCTCTGGTTGCCAACCTAGTGGAGGAAGACAAGTTTTTTGAAAACCCCATCTCTTGCTTTGAGTGGTGGTTCCCAGGAATTATAGGAGCAGGTGTGATGGTGAGTAATATTTATGTGACTTCATTTGGAGAAGGGCCAGCCTATTTTACCAGACTCCTACAGACTGGTTTTCAGCCTTAGAGTGAGCTCTGTCTTGGCTTAGGATACATTTCGCAGCAGTGGTATAATATTAATTTATACTGGCCATCAGTGAAGAATGGTAATTTAAATAAACGATGTTGTACAAGCTAGAGAGCTCGGGGAAAAAAGAATAATAAATCGATAAAAGTTGGTTGAGTTATTACCTATCACATTTCTTCACACGTAAAGATGCTCTTCCAAGCTTTATAGTTAATGTTAGGGACCTTTCCAGTTCATTCCCTCAACTTTCCTTTGCCCCACTAAGTATTTACAGGGGATACGATAGCAGTGGGCTCCTCGGTAGGGATGAGAGAAAACATTTCCATTCACAATGACCATCCTGGACGATGACAATTGTCAGGCATGAATGTGGCACTGCCTGCACATGAAGGGAGTTGGCCTAAGAGATATGAACGTGAAATCCTGGGTTTCAAGGACTTTTTGACTCAGCTACTACGTAGATCCAGAACATTATGGAGCTCATTTAATAGTCTGATGATTATTAAGAGGTCTACCTTTGGTGAAATCTGCCGCAGAGCAGTGCAATACAGAACTCTGGAATGTACCCGATCATGAATCACCTGAGGCATTTACATATTTAGATTTACAGACTTTCTCTTGGGAACTCGGATGTAGCAGGCCTGGGTAGGACTCACTCAGAGAGTGTAACACTGTTTTCAGATCTGGCAACACATCTCAGCTATAGTTCTCCAATATATTACTGTGAGCAAATTATTTATCCTATGGTTTTGTTTCCATGTTTGTAAAATGGGTATGTGGATGTTGAAGGTGAAAATTCAGCATCCAGGGGGCTTGTCTTGGTTTATTTTACTTCTTGTGTGCTACTTCAGGGGGTCTAGTTAGTGCCAGAGAAATGAGGTTGTGAGAGTGTGTGAGTGTGAGTGTGTGTGTGTGTGAGAGAGAGAGAGAGACAGAGACAGAGACAGAGAGAGAGAGAGACAGAGAGAGAGAGACAGAGAGAGAGAGCTGCAAGGACTGGTTTTATCAGTGTTTTAGAGATAATAAAGCATGGTGGCAACTTTTAGAGAAATTCAGGACACAGTTTTCTACTTGAATCACTAATTCCTAATGATGATCAGTCACTGTTGCTGGTCGTATCTCCAGACTTATATAATAACACTCTTAGGCAATTATATGTTAAACTTCATATACAATTTGTCCTTCAGCTGGTACTGGCTGGTAGACCGGACTTGAGACCACTCTGGCATCAAGAAGCCATCCTAGGAAGCGCATCCCAGAGGTTGATGGCTCCTTTTCCTTCACCATCATGAGCAATCTGTTCACCTGCTTTTGGTGGAAAGAGCTAATTAAAGGGAAAGCTTCTGGAAATTTGGGGGCCATTTTTTCAAACTGCCATAAAAGCTCTCTTTCAGCGGAAAGAGAGAAGACACATTGCTCAACAGTATGAAGTAACTGCAAACCTTTGTGTCTGCTTCCCCCCTCGTAGAACTTCTCTCTACTTGACTAGTGCAAGCCTCCTGTGCATCTGCTTACACCAGAAGCCAGGAGCAGCTGGCTGAGCATGACTTTACAATGGTAATTTCTATGAAGCTCCTAAAACTTCCTGAGTTGAGATAATCCATTTAGAATAACTCATGTGGCTTTAGATGTAAACTGGCACTGCCACAAACCCCATGAGAATTTTAAAAAATAATTTCTACTAACATTAAAGGAGCCTGAGGTGGTGATGGTTTACATCCCTTGCATTTTTCTTTTTGAAGAGGTGAGGGGCAGGGGAGGGAAAAGACAGAGAAAGACACAGAGACAGACCGAGGGCCATAAATCTTCTATTGACCACCCGCTAAATGCCAACCACTGGGCTCACATGTTACATTATTATCTCATTTCACCTCTATAATAATCTGGGAAGATATCATTTGTACTTTACAGACCAGCAAACAGGTTAGGAATGCTAACAAGGTCACACAGTAGGTGTGAAACCCAGTTCTAGGTTTATCTGACTCCAAAGTCGTTTCCACCAGTGTTAGTACCATAGTCCCCAACACCTGTCTCAGGCTGACAGAGGTGAAATACGATCCATAACTTATTCCATAAATTTAAGAAACCAGGAAACTGAATCATAGAAAGTTTACATAGAACTGTGAAACAGTTTTAGAGAATCTGGACATCCTTGTTCCACAGCTAAATTTACTTTATTACCCTTGATAAAAATTAACAAAAGATATCAATACCAGGATATATCTATTACTCAGTATTATAGAATGTCATTAAAGCATCAAACAACTCTTTGAAAAATCCAATTCATAGAGCCTCAAACTCTAGGCTATGCCCACAAGCAAACAGATAGAAATGCTCAGAATACAGGTGTATTTTTATGATCTTGGTTTATATATAGAATGTAGAGGAATATCTTTTTCAAAAAAATTAAGTCCTGGGCCGGCCCGGTGGCACACTGGATAGTGCGCCGCTTGGGAAGCGCGGCGGTGCTCCCGCCCGAGGGTTCGGATCCCACATACAGACCGGTTCCCGCTCACTGGCTGAGCGAGGCGCGGGAGCAACACCGAGGGTTGCAATCCCGTTGCCGGTCCCGGTCCGGTACGGGGGCAACACTGAGGGTTGCGATCCGTTGCCGGACATGGAAAAAGACAAAAAAGACAAAAAAAAAATTAAGTCCTTTACAACCTCTGTCAAAATACCAACTATTTCAAAATACTGAACTCTCAATATACCTACAAATACACAGAAAAGTTAATGAAATCAGGAAATCACTGTCTGTGGTAAGTATTTTGGTTATAGTTCTTGAAATCTTTACAAAATTGATGTAGCATTTCAAATTAGTACTTCTCCAAAAATGGGATTTTGTAGGATGCAGCTAATAATACAAACTATTGAATTCATTATTGATTCCTTCATGAAATACATTCATTTTATGGTTTTCTGACACCCAAAACAGAGGTGAACCTTTCCTCTTTTGAAACTATGACCAAAAGTAAATGTTATATAATTAATTATCTTTAGCCTATTATCTGATAAATGGAAAAACTAACACAAACGTCATTTGTTCAAGTATTATAAAAGACCTAAAATGTTTCTTGAAAAAATATAAACAGAAAGGCCATTTTATTTTATATGAAGTAAATTGTAAGCCTGATCTTAATTCACACTTATTCATCGAATTCACTTATTACATAATGGTAATTAATCAAAGTCAATTATTAAAGTCGTAACAGTGAACAAATTGTTGAATGTTAAGCAGATTAGAAGATATTGTGCATAACAAGCATTTGCAAAATATAGTTTTTATATTTATCATGAACTATGGCTTTGTGTGTTACTCTCATATTCAATTACTTAGAGGACTCCCAAAAGTCTAAATTCTAACCAGAGTTTCTAATGGTCTAAAGCTCTTTTGAGTTTCATTTGTAAAATCATATAAATTACTTTTAAAACTAGATAAAAGCATGGGTTCCTGTGAGGACAAATGAACAATACTACTTTTTTTCCTTTATAAAAACGAAAGACTAGCAAGACTTTTTAATGTTACAGAAGTTTTTATGCATTCAAATATGATTAGGAATTGAAGAGAGTGTTATATTTATTCATTTTGGTAGGAGATTATCTGGAAGATTTATAGTTCACACACATACACTCCTTCACATTTTGTCTATCCCATAAAAAGTCCCTCCAATTTCTACAGCTCTGAATGGGCAAAATTGTTGGAAACACAATGAATTATCAAATTACCCATAACAGCATAACAAAGATGTGTTAACATGCCCATGAAGTCAACTGGGTGGTGATTCATACACTGTAAGTTATTGTTAATTTATAAAACCCCTTTGCAAGTGAACTATGAAAGTAAATATTTAGCATCTCTTAATCTTCAAGAAAGTTAGCAGAGTTTAATTTACACCAATAAGGAAAATGGATTGATTTATCAATTTGAGTTGTAATTTAATGTTGCTCCACTTTCTTTTAAAATATTCGATTTTCGGGCCGGCCCGGTGGCGCACTGGAGAGTGCGCTGCTTGGGAGCGCAGCGGCGCTCCCGCCGAGGGTTCGGATCCCATGTGGAGACCAGTTCCCGCTCACTGGCTGAGCGCGGTGCGGGCGCAACACTGAGTGTTGCAATCCCATTACCGGTCCCCGGTACGGGTGCGACACTGAGGGTTGCGATCCCGTTACCCGTCAGTAAAAAAGACAAAAAGGAAAAAAATATATATATATTCGATCTAAATCAGTGATTGGCAAACATTTTCTATAGAGTCAGATAGTGAATATTTTAGGCTTTGCAAACCAGTCTCTTAAACTCTACTAATGGTGTGCAAAAGTAGCCATACACAATATGTAAACAAATGGGCATGGCTGTTTTCCAGTAAAACTTTATTTACAAAACAGAGGTGGCAGACCACAGTTTGTCAGTTCCTGTTCTAAATGACTTGTTCTGTAAGCTCAGAAGGCAGTATAACTTATAGGTTCAACAAGAGGTTTAGTGTATGCATGCTGTCACCTATTTGGTGGCTAAAATTTCTTTTCCCTTTTCTTCTGGACTTTTGGCTATGCCTGAAGTGGCTGGGCAGTCATATATACATGTGGCCTCTGAATTATAAGGGGGTTTGTGTTCAAGGCAATGTGTCGGCAAAGCTTGATGACTGGCATGGAGTTAGCACATGATTAGATGGGGTGAAGTTTGTTAGGAAAGCTGCCTTGCAAGAGGTGTAAACCTTAAACTTGTTCTAAAAGAACAAAGGTAGAGGTGGTCTTGGAAAAAAGCATCAGGAAGGAGCAGTTAGAAAGAGGACAATGAGATGAGCAAGGTGGCAGTTGTGGGGAGGAGGGGAATGAACAAGATCTATGTGGGAATAGGGGAGAAGTGTCAGAATCGAGTCAATGTGGAAGAGACTGAATAGAGTCTGAGCGCTGGAGCCCAAATGCTTAGCTATGAATTTCGCCTCCTCCACTTTCTTTAGCAAGTTACTCAAACTTTCTGTGCCTCAGTTTCTCAGTGGTAAAATGGGGATAGTAGGGCCGAGCCCGTGGCGCACTCGGGAGAGTGCGGCGCTGGGAGCACAGCAGCGCTCCTGCCACGGGTTCGGATCCTACATAGGGATGACCGGTGCGCTCACAGCACTCACTGGCTGAGTGCGGTGCAGCCGGTCTCAAAAAGGACAAAAAAAAAAAAAAAAAAAAAAGGGGGGAAG